GGCTAAGGATTGTTCTCACCTTATTGTTTATGTTTTTCCCATGCTATTGTTAAAGATTTTCTCACCCCTTGTTCTTGATTTCACATGCCCTTTTGTTTTCTTTCATGCTTTTCTCACCTTATTGTTTACCACTTTCCCATGCCTATTGTTTTGGCTTAGTCACCCATGTTCTCAAAGCTTCAGGGATTGGCTGGAGCTGGATGACTCATACCACTCTCTCACACTATTGTTTACCTTTTTCCCACACTATTGTCTCCTCCCAAGTATCTTCTCACCCTATTGTTTGTAATTTCAAATTACTGTAGGGTATATAAGGAGCTCAGTAGGGAGAGAAAAAAAAGAGGATCAATCTATCTGGGATCCCCCAATAAAGCTATTTGTCTGTCAAGTTAAAACCTTGTCCCTACTGTGGGATAAGAATTGTCTGGACTCTGATTGTCTGAAGCACCTCAGTGTAGGGAAGGACTGCAGTACTGTCTGCTGTCTGCTTCAGTTAGCTCAAGCTTGCCTTGGAATATAAGACTGGGCTATTGGAAATCTGTCGTTAGACTCCTGTGACCTGTGTTAGCTCTCTACCTTCATTCTCAGCTAGACTCTAGTAGTCAGCTACCTATTTAGTATCTATCAGATTACCACCACAATATCAGGGTCTGCGTTGGAAACTTATCCTGCCTCTCGAACACAAGGGAACTGCTCGACCAACGTTAAATCCAGCATTCTCTTGGGGAGCTTGACGACCTTTCCGCTTAGTAAATTCTAGGTGGATTTATATCCGTCGCAAGTTCTGCTGACAGCGTATGCGAGGGTGGAGAGAGAGCTATGTATCGAGGAGGAGATGGACCCGAGGATTCAAGTCCCTCTGAGTCAAGACCTTCGACGCCCTGGTACTCCCCATCCTCGTCGACTTCCGCCCACTCCACCACTGCCGCCCCCGACACCACTGCCGAGTTCTACGAGGAACGACTCAACGCACTACGCGACGCCGCCTTCACCGAGCTCCAGAACCTCCTCACTGAGGAGCAAGAGCGCGCTGAACGACTCGTACCCCCAGTTCCCGAGCCGCCCGCCGTGTTCTTCGCAATGCTCGACTCTGGAGGAAGCGATGGGTCGCCTGACGCTGGAACCACCACCCTTGCCGGAGAGGACAGTGACCTGGCGATGCGTGACGAGGCCGAACTCCTTGTACCCGACCTGGGTCTTGGAGACGTACTTCTACCACCCGCCGTCTTCAACTACGACAACGACGGGTACGCCGCCCATCTCGCGCTTGCAGAGCTCCGCCGCGTCCTGGATGGAGGAGCAGGCGGCGAGCGTGAGTATCGACGACCCTCAAGTTACAGCACCCCGCCCACCGAATCAACCGTCGTCGACGCCGCTAGCGCCAGCAGCCCACGTCGAGGAGCTTCCGACCATAGCGATGTCGTCCCCGAGACTCCCGGCTGCTGGGAGCGCGAAGATGGATCGCCCGCGTCCGTTGCCTCTGACGCCGGGGGAGCAGTAGCTCCGCCGAGGTCGCCTTCACTTGAATACCCGTCGCCGCCGCCTGTTACTCCTTCGCGCAAGACTATACCCGCCTACGCCGCCGCGCCCGGATCGTTTCGTAACCCCATCCTCGTCGACAGCGAGCAGGACTCGCCCGAGTCTGACGACGACTACACCGATCGGGAGCGCCGGCTCCACGAGCTGCGCGCGTGGGTCGAGGAGACGATCCACGGGTACGTGACGGATGCATGCGACGAGGTGCAGGTGCGCCTGCGGGAGGAGCTCTTTGGTACGCCGGCTTGATCTCCCTCGATAAGAATTCTTTTTCCTTGATACACGGTCTCTCTCGCATTCGTTGTTCGTCGTGTCGCCCTTCTCCTATTATCGCATTATCTTGAATGTACTTCTACTGCTGTCTGGTATCCCTTTCCCTTTCGTCATGTTGCCCTTTCACTATGCCTACCCCTCTTCTCTCACCACCATTCCTATAGAGTGTTGCGCTGCTGGGCAGCCAGCTCTAGCTCACCCTGAGACTCCCCTAACAGGAAGTCCCTGTCTTTCGTCGCCTTTCTCTTGTAATTCTAGTAACAGTCTGCCGATGTCTATGCGCTCCACTCCTGTTCAAACTACTCTAGTTTCAGCTTGTAATCAAAGTGAT